GTGTGTGTGTATGAAGAAATATAGTTTTAAGGTATGCTATATTTATGGGATAAAGTGCTCAATATCAGAAATAGAGCGTATATAAATATAAAAGTGAACATTGAAGTCAACACTCCGGAGGCGACAGGCTTTTTCCATGTTAGACGCAATCGTCAGGCGGCCTGACGTTTGCGTCTCGCATGAAGCAGCCTGTCGCCTATGAGCATTATATATATATATATATATATATATATATATATATATATATATATATATATATATATATATATATATATATATATACATTATATATATATATATCCTTTAGACCAGTGATTCTCAAGTTTTTTTGGCAAGTACACCCTTTTCACTAATGTCAGAATGTCATCCCCCTTCCCAAGATTGTCCGACTCAAAAACTTCCAAATAATATGCATATATTATTGAAAAGTCTCCATTCTCTTCCATATCAGTATATATAAATTTACACGGATTATTTATATAGAGGAGTTTTACAAATTTAATATAAAATTAAAAATGTTGTTGGATTTTTTAAACTTGAATAAATATAGAGGAATTGGTTTTAATTCCTAACTACTGTAATTCCCCATGTATAATACGCATTTTTTTTCTAAAAAAATAATAATCAAAATCAGCGGTTACAGAGTTACACAGTTTGAAAAAAATGCCGTAAAATAAAATAAAAATTATCATAAAACTAAATTAGAATAATGTTATTCTATGTTTAAAACAATTTTTTAATGAGAGTAGGAAAGGCTGGCTCTCATGAAATTGGAGACGTAAAATTTATAGGGTTTTATTACCGTAAGATGCTCGAGTAGAAGCATTTTCCCACACTTTCTGCACAATTTTAGGATGCGTATTATGGATGAAGGCGTATTATACATGGGGGATTACGGTAATTATTAAATAAAATGAAGCATACTTCAAGAAACAAAAAGTTAAATAGAATGCAAGTTATTTTAATTCAATGAACAAAACATTCAATAAAAGATAATGTCATTTAAATAAAAGATAATGGTATTTAAATAAAAGATAATGGTATTTAAATAAAAGACAATTGTATTTAAATTTATTTTATTCTGATGAAGATTATGGTGAATGAGAAAGTTGTGAAAATATAAAAGATTTTCCATCCTTCACTGAAACCCTGACACATCCTCCGAAACCCGAAACACGCTGGTTCAGAATCCCTATTGTAGACGTTCAAATTAAAGATCCTCTGTGAGAGAACACCAAGAGGATAGAGACATATACATTATCAGAGGTTATTTAATATGAATTCGGATGAGAAAGCAGTTTTCTATAGATTTTGTAGCTAAATAAGACTGGTTCATTAAGTTCGAGTTGAAATTAAATTACAAAATAAATTATATTTGTTCATTAAATTAGAACGTTAAATTAGATTGGCTCATTTTCTAGTTAAAATGTAATTTAAATTTCGTAGCTCAATTAGATCGGTTCATTTAACAGCGTATCAATTCTTGGTAGGATATTAAAGCCGACTTTGAATTCAAGTCGAATCCATTACACTTACATGCTAATACCCTTCGGAAAGGTATGAACCATCTTCTTCTCCGTCCAGCTATGGGTAAATAACAGGAAAGACTGGTTTCCATAACCTTGGATGGCAACTGATCTAGGAGAAGGACAACTAAAAGAATTCAAAACCTGCGTAGGGTTGTTTTGGGACCTAGTGGCACATAGTGCACTAGGTATCTGTATTTGGCCTTTCAAAAAGTATGGTTGGTTCTGCACAAAGATTTCACCACTATAATCAAGTCATATGTGGTGGTGTCTAGTCTGTCGGTTTCTAGGAACTGAGCTGCTTGATCTTCATACGTCGAATACGACGGGAGAATCCACCATTAAAGGTGAATGTAAATATTATAGGACAAAACATTCACAATAATTAGATTGGCATAGATCCGGTTTGCACAGAAGTTAAAAAGTTAGGCATATCTCCAGTTTCCATTGAAGTATATAAATTGATTGATTGATTTTTTAGGGCTTTTTCCTGGTTATTTAAAGCCGAAATATATTTTTAGATAGAAGTATATTTCGGAGATAATAATAGTTTAAAAGTGCTACTAATTAACTCATAGTTTTGGAAAGAGGTGGATTTATACCTTTATCAAGGTAAGTGAATATAATGGACTTGATTAGAATTAGAACTCGGCTCTTCTATTTCCAATTCAGAGCCCTTATCCATTGTGCCACCACTATATACAAGCTTACAAAACCTAGTATTTCCAAGCGTACCCATCTAGATACTGACCAGCCTCAACAGGATATGCATGAAAGCCTCCAAAATGTTATACACAGATCATGTTTAGACGAGTGAAAATTTAGACACATTTAAACTAGTGTTAAAACAGATACGGTGAGGAAACAAATGTTCGTGCACATAAAAATTTTGAATTAATTGTATTTCCAACTAATGAATACACATACTTATATAATTAACTATACACAGATGCATAATAACTAAATATGCATATAAAAGAAAAAATTGATTTAATAGAAATAAATCTCATTTATCCATTTTAATGGTGAAACAAGTTACCGTACAAATAATACATAATCTTCATTTAATACTTTGTAGAAAAGCCATTATTCATTTTTGCAGCAACCAACTTCTTGTAATTCTTAATTAATGATTTGCAAATTTTAGTTGGTGTTTTGTTCCATTCTTCTTCGCATATGGTCTTCAGATCCGCGATGTTTGTTGGAGCTCTCAATTAGATTTGAATTTTCAAATAAAGCCACAGATTCTTTATTGGGTTTAAATCTGGGGACTGACTTGGCCATTTCAGGATATTTGCATTATTTACAACATGCCATTTCTTCGTTGATTTTGCAGTGTTCTTAGGATCATTATCATGGGAGATCCAATCAGGAGGAAGTTCAAGATTTTCAACCAAAATCATTAAATTTGCTTCCAAAATATTTTGATATACTGCAACATTCATTCTACCATCTATTACTATTAAAATAGAAGTGCATTTTAAACAATAATGAACAATGTAGTTAAAGGTCCAGATTGAGCTAGAGTGGAAAATGTTTATACTTGACTCACAATAGAACAAATGAGCGCCGAATTCCAATTCCAGCCTGGTTCGTTATATTCACTTACGATCAAATACCTTTGGAAAAGCTATGAATCCATCTCTTCTTCTCGCCAAACTGTGGGTTAAGTAGTAGTACTTGAATCAATAAAGGAGGCGCAATGGGGTAATAGTTAGCGTCTCAGATTGAGGAATCGGTGAGCCGAGTTCGAATTCCAATCAAATCCATCACATTCACTTACGCGCTAATACCCTTGGGAAAGGAATGAAACCTCTTCTCCCCCAGCTATGGGTAAATAGCAGGACAGACCGCCTTGGATGGCAACTGGTCTACCGCAGAAAGAAATGGAAACCTGCTGCGAGAGAAAAAAAAAAAAAAAATCTTCCTCGTCAGTCATGTATCAAAAGATCGTCTAAGCTTGTATCACGCATGGCACATAACTGACTGACTGTATCAGTAAATCAGTATTATATCAAAAACATTTTTAAAATGTAAAAGAAAAAAAAAATCTGGCTTCAAATATCTTGCAAATGAATTTTCCATCACTTAATACCCTGCTTAGTTTCTGAAAAGCATTCTGATTTTTGTGACACAGATTTCAGCTCCTCCTTCTCATCATCCTTCGACCTTCCTATGGTTGGTCGGAACTCCATTGACAATCTCTTTCCACACTATTCGGTCATTTATTGCTGTCCCCATATCCCCAAGGTCTAACCCTGAGTCCCAAACTATGGTGTCTGGGAAAGTCAATTTTCATGAGAAGACACTTCCAGAAGGATGCCATAGGAGTAAGGATGAAACGATTTCCCTGTCCGCTGCTAATAGATGTTACCATCTACCATACGTATCTGTCAACTTGGACCCTCTCTCTTGCTGGTAACTATGTATTCTATCATCTTACAATTAACAGTTAGTCTTTCATTATTGCTTTCCACGACTATATTCTCACATAGTAATTAACGTTTTCCTTCCCAGAGTAGCGTGTGTCTAGCGTATGTTGTTAAGGTTGTCTACTGATAACCAAAAAATCATAGTAAAGTTTCTGGTCCACATACAGTTATCTCAGTGTACAAGCCTAATTATATCCACCAAGAAAACACATTCTCTGTGTGTATTCACTTAACTGATTTCTATATCCACATATTCAGGGTTCCAGTGAAGGATGGAAAATGGCTGTTTGGTTTGAATACCGTTTAGAGATTATATCAATATCTTTTCAGTGTAAGTCAATCTTACCTAACGTTTTATCGTATACATTTCTGGAAACTATGAAAAAGGTGTAGATATTTTGAACTTATATTGCTTGCTTCGATAGCATTTAGATCATGAAGCCTATATTTCCCGTTCAATCTCGAACAAAGCCATATTGTTCTTACCTTATTTAGAGTTTAATTCATCTACGGGATCTGTTCATTATATTTCTAATTAATTAGAGCTTTTCATTTACGGCGACTATTATCTTTAAATATATTTTTGCTAGTGTCTCTCTATTCATTTCTCATTTCTAGATTATTTGCTGGTTAAGTCCCTTTGTTAATTTATTTGTTATATTATTTTTGCACACACGTTTCATTTTCTCAAACTCTTTTGCGCAGGTTTCCTCAATTTTCAGGTTTCTTTCTTAACGCTGTTCATTACTTATCCTTATATCTCCATCATTTTCAATCCCTTCTCTCTTCGTCCTTCTAAAGCAGACTGTTTGTAACATTCCCGATTGTAACACATCGTTCTCCTTGTTTTATTGCTTCATCTGCCTTTATAAAATTGACTGTCTATTCTTAAAACTTTATTTTAGTTTTATTATTTTAGTCTCACTGTTCATGTTTTCACTCCCTCGAGTAAATAGAGAAATTGTTCTCATGATTTCTGGAAGAATTTTAACGCGAAAAGTCTTTATCATTTATGCCTCCTATGTGGATTCTTTATTAAATGATGCACACCAAGTGTTTACTTAATCATTGTTTGACTATCTATCTATCTATCTATCTATCTATCTATCTATCTATCTATCTATCTATCTATCTATCTATTAGTCTGCTCCTATCGATCTATCTATCTATATACCTATTAGTCTGCTCATATCTATCTATCTATCTATCTATCTATATACCTATTAGTCTGCTCCTATCTATCTATCTATCTATCTATATACCTATTAGTCTGCTCCTATCTATCTATCTATCTATCTATCTATCTGCTCATATCTATCTATCTATCTATCTATCTGTCTGCTCCTATCTATCTATCTATCTATCTATCTATCTATCAGTCTGCATCTTCATCTATCTATCTATCTATTAGTCTATTCATCTATCTATCTATCTATCTATCTATCTATCTATTAGTCTGCTCATATCTATCTATCTATATACCTATTAGTCTGCTCCTATCTATCTATCTATCTATCTATCTATCTATCTATCTATCTATCTATCTATCTATCTGTCAGTCTGCTCCTATCTATCTATCTATCTATCTATCTATCTATCTATCTATCTATCAGTCTGCTCCTATCTATCTATCAGTCTGCTCCTATCTATCTATCTATCTATCTATCTATCTATCTATCTATCTATCTATCTACACTAGTCTCTTGGTATCTATCGATCATAAATATTGCTCAATATCACTAAAACAAAAGAGACTCGCTGTAGCAACAACGTTTACGGATTACCTATAAGCAAATTTCCTTCGTTTTATTCTCATTCATTTTGCAACATGCACTTTGGCAAGCCTACGCGATCAAGCAATTCACTTGCAAAAGACAATGTCGATAATGTTCAACTAGAGCTTGTTGTTACTTCATTCTATTGAACCACTTATTCCCATTTCAGTTTTTTTTTTCTGTTTTTTTCTCTTTATTTGTCTTGCCATCTTTTTTTTTTTTTTTTTTTAACAAAAGATTTTCATCTTCCGACCGGTAAAATAGTTCGCCGATCGAACAGCGGGAAACAGTCCCGAAGCCTTAAAGAAAAAAACAAAACAAAACAAAACCAAAACAAAAAAAAAAAAAATAAGACAACCTTCGCATAGAACAGATTAGTAATTCTCATCAGATCCCGAAGGGGTCGAATTTTTCTGTTTCTTCTCTGGGGTTTACGTTCCGCTTGAACACAAAAAGAAAATGGTTACCAGAGCAGTGGGAAGTTTTTGTTGTGAGAATTACTTTGTTGGTACAGATGAAAAATATATATCCACAGGTATAATATATAAACACACAGACATTAACACAGAATCACGCATATATATATATATATATATATATATATATATATATATATATATATATATATGTGTGTATATATGTGTGTGTGTGTGTGTGTGTGTGTGCGTAAAAAGCAATTTAAATATAGCTATAAAATCATTAATCTATTGCCACATATGTCTAAAATGATACAACGATTCATTTTGTAGGGACATACGCATGTTATGAGTAACGCTTAAAAAAAAGAAATACCTTTTTTTACTCTTAGTCCACACAATCCAAGGCCCAAGGGCCACTAAATCTAGAGGGTTACTGGGTGAGATTGTTAGGGAGGGGGAATAAGAGAGAATTAGGAAGACGAGATAGATATCTGTTGGTACTGAACTTAAAAAAAAACAAAAAAAAAAAAAAAACAATCAAGATGCTAATTATCAGGGAAGCATTATCTCGGGAGATTGTTCCACAAGATAACAGTTCCGGAGAAGAATTCATCAGAGTGGAAGTTGCTTTTAATTAAAGGAACATGAAGGGAATGTGATGGTTTGCCACCGTGAACACAGCGTGGTTCTAATTGAGACGGTACGAACTAGTAGAAATAAGGGATGTAACGCGTCTAAATATCTGCCATAGTGATATACAATATAGTAGTGGAAGGTCGGGGATGTTTTGTCTGTTGGATAAGAGCTTCATGGAGGAGAATAATTATCCACCTACAAGGCGGCCTAAGCGCTATTGAACTCTATCAAAGTTGGACAGTGAAGTCTGCTGCATGGAGCAAATTTTCTGCTACTAAACACTATTTTGGTTATATCGTCACAACGAATAGCCTTTTAGCCAACAGGAGCGATCGTTCTTTTTTTCCAAGTTCTCTTACAACACTTAATGGTGACTGTCAGTTTCACGTCTCAGTGTGATATTTGAGGCAAGTGTTACCATTCCTTTATCGGGATGAACCTATACGCAACTGAGGTTTTAGGAGAATTTAGAGAAGACAGAAAACGCCCCTTTCCTGGTATTTTGCTTGGGCCTAATATTTTTTAGCAATTTATGGTCGTAACTTGTTGCCTCTCGAGAAGATTTTACAAGAATAAAATATGAAATTTGGTCCTTCAATCACACACACACACACACACACACACACACACACACACACACACACACATATATATATATATATATATATATATATATATATATATATATATTATGTTTCTGTGTGTCCCCATATGTGCCTGTATGTATACGAAATCTCTTTAAAAGTATTACATCATGTTCACACCAGCCAGTAAAGACTGATATTTAACGCACGGTAGAATGATTTTCTCTGACTATTTAGCGATAGCAACTAAAAGGCAATCTAGCAAAATAGTGTCTGACATGAAAGCTGTTACGAAGTAGCGGTGTGTCGTGAAATTCTCTTCATGTCTGTTTCATTTAGATGCAATCGTCATGCCTGAAAGTGTATGAAACAAACTGTCAAGCCTCTAACTGTTGACTTCTATGTTCAATTTTATATTTACTGCACAGTTCTATCTCTGATATTGAAGCAATTTATCCCAACTAAATATAGCTACCATATTAAGACTATATTTTTTCATGTATGTATATATATATATATATATATATATATATATATATATATATATATATATGTGTGTGTGTGTGTGTGTGTGTGTGTGCATCATCATGTGTATATAAATAAACATTGCAGGTTTTTTCGTTTTAGAAATTTCAAATGGTTTCTTTTGATTTTATTTAGTTTAGTCATCTAATTTCGATTTTCTGTACAACTTACTCGTTGCTCACATGTTATGTCCATGGTATTCTTAGGAGGATAGATATTATATAGCAGTTCAGCGCATTTTGTTCCCTTTGTTCTTTTGTGTATTAATTTTCCATTTTTTTCTTTCTTAATAGTTTGGTTTTTTTTGGTTTAGTCATCATTCATTGTAAAACTTCCATTGCTCACCCATGTCCATGGTATATCTGTATCAAATTTTTGTTCTTTATATATATATATATATATATATATATATATATATATATATATATATATATATATGTATGTGTGTGTGTGTGTGTGTGTGTGTGTGTGTGTGTGTGTGTGTGTGTGTGTGTGTGTGTGTGATCGATGGACCAAATTTCATATTTCAATTCTTGTAAAATCTTCTTGAACAGGGAAGAAGTCATGACCATAAATAACCCTTTAGGCCTAAGAAAAATTGTTGATTCTCATACTCACATTGTCTCTATCTATCTATCTATCTATCTATCTATCTTAAATGAATATTTATCCGCTGAACAAGATGTCGATAACCGAATCAAGGCTGCCCACACAGCATACAGGAAGCTATTCAAAAGATTCTTCAGGAATAATCCACAAAATAACGTAAAACCACTAAGCTTTACATGGTATATTCTTGGGAAGTTGTTGCAATCTCGACTCTCCTCTACGCCTGTGAGACCTCGGTACTCAACCTAAGAGAAATCCACAAATGTGAAAGATCTAATCAAATTAAACTTCGTAAAATCCTTCGGAACAAGTAGCAGGACCAGATCACGAACAAAGAAATTCTACACCGCGCAAAGATGGAGAGCCTAGATACGATCATGACTCGCCACCGACTGCGATGGGCCGGACTCCTTGCCCGAATGCCAGAGATCCAACTACCGAAACAAATTCTCTTCTCGGAGCTCACATCTGGAAAGAGACCACTTGGTGCCCCATGTCGTCGATTCAAGGATTAGCCCCCAAAACGGGGACAGAAATTGATTCAGTCAATTTGGAAATAGATGCTGCAGAAAGAACAATTGAAGAAGAGCAGTCCACGAAAAGACACCATCCTTCGAAAACACCAGAAAACAAATAGAAAAGACGAAAAATGCCCCTAAAAAACCCATATCTTTCCATCCTCTGAACCCTCCTACCCTACAATTCGGTGGCTCCGAACGTCTCTTCAGATCCCAAATTTCAAGTTCATCCCATGTTAATTCTGGAAGTAGCTTTATATATATATATATATATATAGTAAAAGAAGAAGAACAGTAAGATATGTAATCCGGTGTTCTTATTGATAACACAAAACAGTGATCAATGTAAATTTACAGAGAATTAATATTATAACTTAACTGATTTAAAAATATAGTTTCATCGCTACACAGGAATTACCATGTTTCAAAAATAGAAACCAAAAACTTCAAATTCAATTATATTTAATTAAAAGCATTAGTTCTGTTTCTTCTTCAAGAGAATTTTGGAACCAAAAGTCGATTCCAGTGTTCATACATTGTGATGGAGTCCAATGAATTGTTCATCCTGCTTGCCTGAGGAGACCTTACGTTTGCAACCCGGGTAGTAAAGTAGATATATTAGAGTTAAGATGTGCTGCTTAATGAGAGATCCGTGGTTTTATCTAAATGCAGGCATTTGATCAAGTATATTTTGGGTATGTATGAACACGGATGAATGTAATGGGTAATTTCCCACCCACTACACGTTTTCCCTTCCACTTCTCCTCTTTCTTTCTATAATGCAAAGCTCTTCAGTAAAATGAATTAGAGCGTTATGACTGATTGGAGTTTGTTTACATTTGTAAAAAAAAAATACACTAGAATTATCAGTTTCTCACTGCCGAGTGATGATAGCTTAGAAGAAGAAAATTTGGCTGACACCAAATCGGTCGGGTTTCGGTTCTGGCTTGAGGAATTCAGATGTCTAGTTGCACAGAGGAGCTGTAATACAGCGAAACAGCACTGACTGCAAATTACACACACACACACATATATATATATAAGTTTGCATTTATATATATGGGGTGATTTGCACGGAGTTTTCTGGATTTATAAGCACAGTAAATAATACACAATAATTGATTCTTAATATAACAGGCCATTAATTCAAACTTAAAGAATAAATAATTACACTTCCATCATTTAAATACGTAAAATAATTTTTGTATTTCGTCAAAGCTCATGCGAGGAGATTATACGGAATTTGCGATAATCTCTGAAAAGACATGAAATTATATTTTCTTCATTTCTAGTTTCTTTTAAAACCACTGTGTGAAAAATGCAATTTTGCAGAACGGATCAATTTTTTTAAAACTCAGCTTGCCGGCAGCAATAGTCTGAATATAATACACCATCGAAAATGGAGGAAAAATGATAATCGTAATAATCAGTTTATTTTTATTTAAGATTTCTTAATTTTGAATATTTGGAAAAGCAAATGATGCTGATGCTCAACTTGGGCCAATATGTTGACCAAATCTACAACATCCTACGAAATATTGTGAATTCAAGTGTAATTATTTCATGTCAGGTTTTGTAAGCAAATTGATTAAAATTATAACGTTATTATTTGTTGTTAAGGTTAACGTTTCTGATTGTATTCATTATAATTCCTTCATTTACCCATCTCGCTATTTCTCTCTCTCTCTCTCTCTCTCTCTCTATCTATCTATTTTTTGACGATG